CAGACTCTGTACAGGATATTTCATTTGACCACAGTGGCAAGCTTCTAGCTTCCTGTTCTGCAGATATGACCATTAAACTATGGGATTTTCAGGGCTTTGAATGCATCAGAACCATGCACGGTAAGGAATGCGAAATAGCTATATGCCTTCACCCCGCCAAAGAGCTAGGTAAAACCAGAGTATCAACAGTTTGATTTGTTGGTATTTAATTATATGTATTCTATTATTCCATATTTTTCCTCATATTTTATTTAAAGACATTTTTAATCTACATTTCCTTTTTTTTATATTGTTTCACTGTACTCCTTCCCCCCAGTACTTTTATAATAGAGTTTTTAAATGGTGATACAGCATTCCAGAGACCATGATGCTTTTTTATATACAGGTACCCTACAGTTACTGGTTTTTTTTCAGCAGTGAAGCCAATGATGTAAGCTCATGGATTAACTACAGTAATGGAGAGTTCCTAATACGAGGTTTAAGTATATCTTAGGTCTATGTAAAATGTTACACTTTTCATAAGTATTTTGGGATAAGAAGGACTGCTAGAATGTCATTTGAGAGAAAGAGAAAATGAAGTTACTCGTCCTTCTGTTTTTTCAAGTGGGAAACTATCTGAGAGTTGTTGTTTGGTGCTGTCAAGTCATAGACGACTCATAGCGACCCTGTAAACGAAAGGCCTGAGTATTGTTCATAGGGTTTCCAGAAGGAAGCCATTTCAGAAGTTGATGCCACTCCTGCTTCCAGGCTTCTGAGAGAGTAAGTGTATTAAAAATTGTGGAACCCATGCACACCCATGTTTATTGCGGCTTTGTTCACAATAGCAAGGAGTTGGAAACAACCTAAATGCCCATCAACAAATGAATGGATAGAGAAGCTGTGATATATTCACACAATGGAGTACTGTGCTGCACTGAAAAACAAGGAGCTCATGCAATATTATTCAAAATGGGTGACCCTAGAGGACATATGCTGAGTGAAATATCTCCGTCACAAAAGGACAACTGTATGGTGCCACTATTGTAGAATGAGGCTGACATCAGGGTGGGGATAAGACTGAGAAAAACTGGATAAATTATGTATACTGCATTGAAGCTGATGAGGGAGAGAACAGTTTAAAAGTAATAACAATTTCACTGATTTCACATGCAAGCAAGATTTTACTGAAAATTATCCAAAAACGACTGGAACAGCACATCAACAGAGAACTACCAGAAG